CGGGCTGGCGGGTCATGCTGTAACTCATTGCCGGTAGGTTAATCCAAGGACAGCGTCAAGCAATGTGGTCTGCGGACAAACTGCACATCCAGTTGAATCACCATCCCTCGTTGGGGGCATCGACTAGACGTCGTTGGAAGAAATAGCTGCGAGCTGAGTATGCCGGACATGAGTCCACCACTCTCAATTAGTCCATCAACCATACCTGGGAAGGGATGAAAAATGCGAGGTTAAATAATAGAGAGGTGTACGTTGAGAGGAAAAGTAAGCAAAAGGGTTTTTGAGGGAAAAACCGAGCCTGAAGGCCGAGTGATGTGAGAAACATATGTGAGATGGGGTGGGAAACATTACCTGTAATAGTAGTGGACTCCCCGCGAGTCTAGCCATCTCCCGGCGATGAAAAACGTCCAAACTCATCAATATCTCAGTTAATGTCATGGCAATGTTGCTTATTCCCTCTTTCAAGCCCTCTACAACTTCAATCAAATGGGTACTAAACCCACCAGAGCCTGGGGCATGCAAGAAATGAGACAACATGCACAAACAAAGCACATGTCGCCGACAGCCCTGCCAATCATGATCGCCGCGGTCACCGGCATCAGAAAATCGACAAACCAAGCTCAGAATATCTAGCTCTCCGTCGCGAATCAATGACCGAGCGTGATGCAAAGTAAGGCCGCACATCCGTCCTAAGGCTTGGACGTGGCCGAACCAGAATGGAGGCAAGATTTCTTCATCACGCTCGGATTCCATCAAAGCTTGGAAATCCTCGAAAGTGGGGCACATCTCTTGACTGCCAAAGCTAAAGACGTGTGTTACCGGATTCCAAAACCTTGCCGCGGCATGGAGGAACTGAAAACGCAACGGAGTGCAGCTCAACGCGAATAGTGCATTTATGCCGAAGCCCCGGGAATTCGGCCTTTCCGAGCCATCTAAGGTAGCAATCCAATTTATGAGATTTTGGACAAGGAAAGCCTCCATTCTGTACAAAAACAGTGCTGAAATGAGCAAACTACGAAGTTGGGGCTTTTGTAAAAGAAAAGGTGTGAGTGGAAGACATGTGTCAACATTCTGATAGTTCTTGCCATTTTTGGCCGATCGGCCAAAAAGAGTGCCTACTGACCACCATTTTTGGCCGATCGGCTAGTAATTATGGCCGATGGCCATTTCTTGTGGCCGATGGCCTTCCCTCTTGTCCTGTCAGCTGTCTATTTGCTGAGGATGTTAAGAACTTGCGTTTGGTTCCACTTCGAATGCCTTCCGGTGATGTTTTTCCGAAGACATGCCTGTGTTAATTCAATTTGCTTATCGAGTTGTTGTACTTTTGTTTATTGAGTTGTATCTCGTATTCTTTAAGTCTTTATCTTTCTTACCGAGTTGTATTTACATTTGGTTAGCTTGTCAAGTTCTTTGTTTTGCTTATCGAGTTGTTTTGTTGTTAGTCGGTTCACTACCTAGTTGATGCGATTCGAGTGTTCAGTTTTCAAAACAAGGCTCAATCTCATTTACATTGTTATGTAATGCGATGTGATGCGATGCGATGCATAGAATGTACAAGTATAACACCTTTTGAACAAAAAAAAATAGCTATTTCATTTCAGCATATGTTCTCTTGCAAAAAGTACATAGTTTTGAAGAAAATAAAAACCTGTATGAGGCAGTACACTGTGCTTAAACTACTAGAAAAAAGGAAAATAAAGCAAAAAAAAAAAAAGGGAGAAAAGCCACAAAGTATCTGAACAAAGCGAAAAAGAAGAAAATCAGCAAATGTCTGGATCAGCACCAATAGTCTCAAGCACGGGAATCCGTCCTGGTCCTCTTCCTAGACGAAGGTCCAGGATCGTCGCCGCCAGCTCCGCCATCAGAATCTGAGTCTATGCTGTCCCCAGTCTCGCCTTGAGACGACTCTACCTCCTCATCTGACTCATCGTCGTCTGGAGTGGGCTCTCGCGAACTGCTCTCAGCATGGGTGTGCCTATGTCTGCCTTGGCTGTGGATCGTCATCCCCTGCCTGACTCTCCTAGCTCCTCGGGCAAGTACAGATGGCCCAGTTGGAGCACCCCCTGCGGGCAGAATCTAGAATGGGGCCTGAAAAGAATAAATGGCAAATGCATCAGTTATGCTATCCAAAATAGGGTATGAATACCAAATGAGGTATCTGAGTACAGTATATGAATGCTGTGAGCAGTGTCCGAATACAATATATGAATGTCGTGAACAATGCTATGAGCAGTGTATCAGTGCCATGAGTGCTGTGTATCAAGCGTCGTATCAACAAATATGATGTATCAAATCAATATGGAACAAATTGTGCAAAGTTTGGGATTGGGGTTAAAAGAACTGACCGAGATACCATAGATGGTCAGCAGGTCCAGTCTCCTCTGCAACATCCCCATCACTGAGGCCGTCAGCTCCAGGGACTGTCTAGTGTACTTGACGGAAGCCTGCAAAAGTGTTGAAAATCATTAGTATTCTGCGGGATATCGAATGAATTGAAATGACTGTACAGAATGTAAATTATAGCAGTACATACCGGGGTCGAACCGTAAACTCCGACAAGCTCATGATCAGCCGGAGGAGGAGCGATGGGTATATGGTAAGTCTCCCCACCCTGTCCTCGGTATGTCATCATGGTGTGCAGTGCTGGCCACTTGGCTCCCCGTCCCCTCCGGGACCCACTCCTATCGTGGGCTTGAGTCAGCCTCGGTGCTCCTGCTCCTGCTCCACTCCTTCCGTTGGCGGTGGAGGTCTCTCTCTGTCGACTCGACGAGCACCGGTCAGAGGTCGCATCAAATAGGCCTAGATGAACTCGGTGTAGTCGCCCTCATCTCTAAAGCACTCCGAGTCCCAGCCGATCGTGTAGTCCATCATATCCTCTAGGGTATCTCCCTCGGTAGCCCTCATGTGGGTAGGGGGTGGCCTCGGAACTATCTGCTCTGGTAGACTAAGAGTCTGGCGTAGGAAATGCTCCTCGAAATACCACGCCCGGCAGACTGGGCCCTCCAGCAGAACTCTGAAACGGGCAATGTCCTGAGCACCCCCGTACCCATCTCTCACTCTATCCGGCAACACCGCCCAGGGCTGCCAGGTGATCTACAAATGACAGGACATACAGTTTGTTAATTTGTTTTTGAAAGTACAATGAGAAGCGAAGCTTAAATGAACTAAAAAGCTTTAAATACCTTAGCTGGAGTGATGGTATCGAAATAACAGCAGAAAAACAGGAAGGACTCCCTCGGCCTCCGCTCACACCTCACATCATAGCGATGAGAGTATGGAACCATGGGGGGCGTCTCCACATCAGGCACTAGGGCAAGCCTCGGAAAGTAGGCATACACCCACAACTACAGAATGTAACAAAGCAATAGTAAGTATGCTTGTCAGATAAAGCAAAATGCAGATAAAGCAGAAACCACAGAACAATGTGCAGTGTATAGTCAGTGTAAAGCAGATTGCATGTTTGCAGTGTGTGCAGTGTACAACCAGTGTAAAGCAGATTGCGTGAGTACAGTGTGTGTGGTGTACAGATAATGTGAAGCAGAACTGTAAAATAGAAAGGGAAGGTGTACCTCCTAGGCCCGCCAGTAGCCTCCGAGTAACTGTCCGCTGTAGCGAGACGATGAACTCATATATCCATAGAGTATGGCCAAGACGGCGCCACCCTAGTCGTAACACCGGATCCGTGTCACATCCACCAGTGTGCTTATCAAATAAAGGGCGACAGTGTTCGCCTGATTGGTGAAGAGGGTGGTCCCCTGCAAGAACATGATAAAGCCGCGAGCATACTGCTCTACCTCCTCGCGAGTCGTGCCTGAATTCGAAAGTGGTCCTTGAACCAAGAGTACCTCACGAATCATGAACGGGAGAGAGGTTGCCAAGCACCAAGCAGGTAGATTTGGGCAGCATCCCACTCGCCCATGTCAGTATCAAAGGGAATCGGATCACCCCCTACTCCAACACCGGTGAGCATGGAGAAGTCGAAGGGAGTCATCGTCATCTCCCCTGTAACAGAAAGATGGAAGGAGTTGGTGGTGTCCCATCACCTCTCCACTAGTGCGCCCAGAAGAGGTCTACTCGGAGTGAGGCGCGAGAGTCCTCTGTAGAAAACGCCGAAGCCGTCATGATCAACGATGTGACGAACTGCGTCGGGTAACTCCATGTACCAACCTCGGGCGATGGTGTTCCCATACCCTCGGAAGGCATGGGAATCTCCCTGTGTTCAAGACAAACAATTGCGAAGCAATGTTAGACGTACAGTGTTTGAATGCGTTCAGAATTGATGAATATACAGTGTGTGATGTGTTCAAGTTCACATAGATATCTAGTGCGGGTGTGCTCTAGGTGGACCAAGCATATGATGTGTCAGTGTTTTTGGGTTATTTAGAATTAATGAATTTGTAGTGTGTGTGCATGTGTTCAAGTTTAAACAGATATCAGATATGGGTGTGCTCACGATGAACTAAGTATGCAATGTAGTAGTGTATCTGGGTTAAGCAGTTAAAGAACAGTATCGACTATCAGAGTTATACAGTCTACATTGCAGAAAATGAAACAGAGAAGGAGCATACCTCAGCGGCGCTGTAAGACAGATGTGACTCTGGCTCGTGCAACAAGAGCTTTAGTGGCGCGCCCCGTGCATAACTCCTACAGTGGCGGATGCCATCGGGAGGCAATACGTGTATCACCAGTCTGTAGGTCACCGGGTCGAACGGTCGAACGCTCAACGGCAACAGCCCGACCTTAGGGTCCATATCCATCTCTAGGGGAGTTCCACCTTGTGGAATATCGTCTACCATCTCAAGAAGAGTGCGAAAATGGCCGAAAGTGTGAAAAATGAGTGAAAATGCGAAAAGTCAACCCAAAAGTGAACCCCAAGGGGCGAAAAATGGGAGAAAAGATCGGAGTGTGGAAAAGGCACAAAGATCAAGATAAACTCGGGAGAAACAAACCCCAAGTGGTGGAAACCAAGAAAGGGACACTGAAATAGAGTTTTGTTCAGTTCAAAGTGTACGAAACGGGATGGGTTTCGCGAATCGAACAACGTAAAAGGCCTGAAAACAAGGGAAAAACAAGGATCGAAGAGAAGAAAATCACCTAGAGAGAGAGAGGGATGATTTTCGAGCTTGGAGAAGTGAGAATATAGGGTTTGGAACCCTATATTTAAAAGACCCAAGGCAAAAAGACAAAACTGCCACGAAATTGCCATTTTTGGCCGATGGGCCAAATTGTTAGCTGATCGGCTAATTATTTGGCCGATGAGCTCATTTTGTGGCTGATGGATGGCCGATGGACTTCCCTTGTGGTCGATGCACCTCCAATGCCTTTGGTTTGGTCAGCTATATTGTTTAGAGGCTTCATCCCTCAAGACAGTGCAAGAAAGTACATTGTTGAAGCTTAACCGACCTTCGTGTTGACCTCGAACTGTGTCTTTCGTGTGCGACGCTCGATACGCTCAAGGTGTATCCTTTTTCGTATCCTTTTGTATCTTGTGAGATCCGAAAATCACTTTAAATATATTGCGTTACAATATTTTGTCATAAGCGCGCTTGTTATACGTCTTGTTGCATTACATCTAGTATGCCTCATCTTGTTTTTGCATCTCAACATCGTGAATAACGTGCCTTTGCCATACTTGCATTGTCATGCATCTTCATTACATGCATTGTCTCGCATGTCTCACTTGCATTGTCATGCATTTTCATTAAACGCGTTGTCTCACATGTTTCATTTGCATTGTCATGCATTTTCACTACATGCCTTGTCTCGCATGTTTCATTTGCATTGTCATGCATTTTCACTACATGCATTGTCTCGCATGTTTCATTTGCATTGTCATGTATTTTCACTACATGCATTGTCTCGCATGTTTCATTTGCATTGTCATGCATTTTCATTACATGTATTGTCTTGCATGTTTCATTTGCATTGTCATGCATTTTCATTAAACGCGTTGTCTCGCATGTTTCATTTGCATTGTCATGCATTTTCACTACATGCATTGTCTCGCATGTTTCATTTGCATTGTCATGCATTTTCATTACATGTATTGTCTTGCGTGTTTCATTTGCATTGTCATGCATTTTCACTACACGCGTTGTCTCGCATGTTTCATTTGCATCGTCATGCATTTCCTTATCTTGCATTGTTTTGCATTTTCCTCTATTACTTGCGTTGTCTCGCTCGTTATATGCATTGTTTTGCACCTTTATAACTTGCATTGTCTTGCTCGTTATGTGCATTGTTTTGAACCTTTATAACTTGTGTTGTCTCGCTCGTTATTTGCATTGTTTTGCACCTTTATAACTTGCATTGTTTTGCTCGTTATGTGCATCGTCTTGCACCCCCTACTAACTTGTGCATTGTCTTGCACCCCCTACTAACTTTTTCATTGTCTTGCACCCCACTAACTTGTGCATTGCCTTGCACCCCCACTAACTTGGGCATTGTCTTGCACCCCTACTGACTTGTGCATTGTCTTGCACCCCTTACTAACTTGTGCATTGTCTTGCACCCTTACTAACTTGTGCATTGTCTTGCACTCCCACTAACTTGTGCATTGTCTTGCACCTATACTAACTTTTGCATTGTCTTGCACCCCCATTAACTTGTGCATTGTTTTGCACTCCCACTAACTTGTGCATTGTCTTGCACTCCCACTAACTTGTGCATTGTCTTGCACCCATACTAACTTGTGCATTGTCTTGCACCCCCTCTAACTTGCGTTGTTTCGCACCTTATCTAACCTGCGTTCTTTCGCACTTCTTTAACTTGCGTTGTTTCATACACCATCTAACTTACGTTGTTTCGCACTTCTCTTACTTACGTTGTTATGTACATCTTTAACTTGCGTTGTGTAGACACCCCATTTCTGACCGTCCTCAAGACCTGGACGTCACCATTTGAACACTCGGTGATCATCCATGTTCGTGTTCGTTTTGAGTTCCCGGAGGTCTCGGCTACGTGCCTTGCCTTAGGAACTCTCGACTTGACTGTTCTGTGCTTGGTTTTGCACCAAACACTTGTTGTTTTGCTTCTGAGGGTAGAGGAATGGTTGTTAGCCATCCCAACACCTCACCAGCATGGCTTTAGGCCACCGGCCCTGTTTTGTTGCTACCGGCCATTGGTGATGGTCGGTCGACACTCTTGCACTCTTTCTGGTCGGTCGACCATTGTTTTGGTCAATTTGTCATTTTTGGCTGGCCGACCCTTGTTCATCTGCTTTTGGTAGATATTTTATGCCAGTTGTGATAGCTGGCATCCGCAATGCACCCCCTCCATACACGTGTATGAAGGATTTGCACCCTTTGCACCCTTTTGTTCTAAGCTTCTTGAAGAAGCTTGCACCCTTTGCCCTAGCTTCTTGAGGAAGCTTGGACCTTTGTCTTAGCTACCTCAAGAAGCTTGAACCCTTTGTCTTAGCTTTCTCAAGAAGCTTGACCCCCTTGACCCCTTTTGTTTAGCTTCTCTAAGAAGCTTAGGCCTTTGTCTTGCTCTATAAAAGAAGGCATGTCTTCTCCTTTGTAAAGGTTCAGCAAATCAGAGATATATATGATATATATATCACTCTCTCTCTATATCTCCCTCTCTCTCTACATTTGTGTGTGTTAGAGAGCCTTAAAGTGGGTTTTGTTCTTAGTTTTGCACTAAGACACCTAGTGTTACACCATACCTTGGTTATTGAGGTGTTAAGAGGTTGTTCTTGGAGCTTTTGAGTTGGTTTTGATCAGAAAAGGGGGCTGGAGTTTTGGTTCTTGAAGTGTTCTTCAAGGGTGAGTACTATTGCTTTACATTCCCCATTCTTGCACTAGCTTTTAACCTATCTTGCATATGTTTTTAAGCTTAGTATATAACTGAAAAAAGTTCTGATTTTACTTTCTTTTGAACTTTGCTTAAGGTTGTTTTGAGGTTTGGGGTTGTTTACCCCCTCTTAGGCCTTGTTTGGCCTCCTTTTTGTGCTATTTTTGGTGAGCTCCGGGACCACCTTGTATTGGCCGGGATTTCAGTGGTGGGGATGGTGTTTTGAGGTCCTAAGAAGGAGAGGGCCATCCCCTCTCCTTGTTGTCTTCAAAACTTGTCATTTTAGCCTCATGTGTGAGCACCTTGATTAAGTTCATGTTGACCATGTCTTAGTTTTTATTTGTGGTTATTTTGCCATGTTATAGCATTGTTTTAAGTTGGTTTAGACACACCATGCATGTTTTGCATACTTGTCTTGTAATGCCATGAAATTGCCCTAACATGCATCATGGTGTACCATGACTTTCTAGCATGATTTTGGCTTAGCTTTGTGAAGCTTTTATGCATGTTTTGGTGTACTTGAGGTATGATTTTGGTTATTTGGGTCATCCATGACTTGCTTTGTATAGCTACCATGCAATCTCCCTTGTAAGCTTTGAGTATTGAATCCTCTAGCATGCTTTATTTGCATCATTTCAGTGGTTTGGCACCATTAGTTATGTCATTTCAGTCCATATGGCATGCTTGTATGCTTGCATTTAATGCTCCTTTAGTGCTTTAAAAGGGTGATGTCTTATGCTCCACGTTTGAACCCTTGTGTATGCCATCATGTGTAGGACATTTAGATGCCATCTAGGTGTGTCTTTGGCCTTGTTTTGGTCTGCCTTGGGACTATTTCAAGTCCTTTTGGCCCTTTGAGGTTTGGTTGGCATGGTCATGGCTTGAGCCCTTTGGCTAGCCTTGAGTTTTGGGCTTGGTTGCATGCTTTGCTTGACTTGTTTAATTGGTTTGGCACCTTTTCTAACATGATTTCAGAGCTTACAATGTATGCCATTTGTCCATGTTTGTCCCCTTTTAAGTGTGCTTAAAAGTCCCTTTTTTGTGCTTAAGTTTTGGACCTTGTTTGCATGCATGTTTGTATGTACATTCGCCTTCACGTGCTTAGCATATTGGCCACTGTTTTGGGCCTATTTGAGAGCTGCCCAAATTAGTTTAAGTCTATCCCTGCGTGTTGTTACATGCTTGCCTTTTATGTTGTCACATACTTGTTGCATATTTGGTGAATTACACGGTGTAGCATGCTAGTTCAATTGTGCCTCATTGTGTACTTAATCCATGACATGTTGTTGCATGCTTAGGTTGTAATGCATTTGGCATGCATTTCCTCTTTTAGTTACTTAACATGTTGTCCATGTTGCATCTTGCATGCTTGCATGGTTAAATTACACTTTGCATGCTTGTTAGCTTGCATACTTGTTCACATGCTCATGGTGCATACTTAGCTCGCATGCTTAGGTTGCATTTTGCATACATGCCTTGCCTCTTGAATCACCATAATAGAGGTTGGGTCCATTGTTTGTTTGGTGTGCATTTCATTTAACATTGAAATTGCACACTTGGCTTTTTGGGCCATCATGCATCGAAATGCGTGATTGGTGGCCCGAAGGTCGAGTACCATACTCCCCTGAGTCTTAAACATGATAGGGAGTGTGGTTGTGCAAACATTTGCTTTGAAATGCATTGCCATGTCTTGTCTGCCCTCTGCTGCTGTCAAAACAGGGTGCTGCAGGAAGATATGGTCGACCGACCATTCTCAGTGCCGATCGACCAACAATTGATGGCCGAGAGCATCATAGATGGTCGATGACTACTTTTCCATGGCCGGTGGTGTTTCCTCTTGGCCGGTGGTCTCCCACAACCCTTAGGGAGTATTTCAGAACCATCCTTGGGACTTGTGCAGTCTTTAGAGGCATAAAACAGTGTAAACAGAGGCAGTTTGTGCATGGTGGTGGATTTCCGAGCGGAGCCGAGTACGCATGCATTAGACCCTCTGCCTGAGGCTGTTTTACCGCTTTATTAGCTTAGTTAATTTGCTTAACTAGTTAAGTGGTCTGTAACTATTTAATTAGCTTGGAAGTGATTCTGGAGCATCATTGAGACTTGCACAATTTTCAGAGGAGCAGAGCAGGGTAAACAGAGGCAGCTTGTGCATGGTGGTGGATTTCCGAGCGGAGCCGGGTACGCATGCATTAGACCCTCTGCCTGAGGCTGTTTTACCACTTTATTAGCTTAGTTAATTTGCTTAACTAGTTAA